AAAACACTCTATCGTTTAAAATGAAGGAAATACGTTAAAAAACCAATTAATTTTTTTCTCAGAAAATTCCATTAGTATAGTACAGTACATTTTAGAGCATAATAATCTACAAAACCGGTATATTAGGTAGTGGGGGTTATACATTCAAATTTTAGGCGTTCTTATTTTGAAATCCCACACAACAGAATAAAACATTTGCTCATATGTTTATGGCTTGGCAATGAAAATATCAGAGCAACAGACTGGGGATGGTATTCCAAAGATGGTTTGTTATTACCCGTACGCATGAACAAACAACCTGCACAAAGTTGATTTATACTGTAACTTTACTTGTTCTGGGTGCTCAGGTGAAGGGTGCAATAATGGTCCACCAATAATTGAAGAAGATGAGGATGACATAGATCACGATGAAGATGTAATTGATGACGAATAAAATTAATATTATAATTGTTTTACCTATAAATGTAAATATTTTCAACTATTTATGTAAATGTATAAGAATATATGGTGCCTTTTTATGTTGATAATTTTTTTTGTATTTAATTCCACTTTTTTCAATTTATATCTATTAAATTAGTTAATAACTGCACCCTTTACAACTGCAATGTTGTAAAGGGTGATTTTCAAAAGTTGAAAAGTTGCAAAATTTTGGCAAAAAATTGTTTTTACCTATAGCACTCATAACAATTGATTTTTAAGGGTTAAAAATGTATGAAATTGTATTTTAAGGTATAAAAAAATCACTATTTAACTAATCCAAACCAAATTTCACTCATCTTAAGATTTGTAATGTTATTTTACAATTTTTAAAAATTAGGGGTAGTTTTCACCCCTAAGAACAATCAGGGTTCATCGGCATGACATAAACTATAAAGCAGAGGGTGAGTTAAGCTTAATTCCAATTTTTTATGCAAATCGTTCCAAGAAGAAATCATTTTCTTCGCATTACCAATTTTTTTACATTAATCTCTAACAAGGGTCGCTTTTAAGGGTTGAAATATGATGGAACTTTATTCAAAAGCACGAAACTATCATTATTTAATTAATTCAAACCAAATTTTACCCATATTCAGGTTTAATATGTTATTTTATAATTTTTGACAATTAGGGCTAGTTTTCACCCCTAAGAACAATCAGGGTTCGTCTACATGACATAAATTATAAAGCAGCGGGTGAATTGAGCTTAAATCCAAATTTTTATCCAAATCGATTCAAGGCGAAATCATTTTTTTAGAATTTTTTTTTATAATTTTTTTACAATAATCTCTAAGAAGGGTTGCTTTTTAAGGATTGAAATATGATGGAACTCTATTCAAAAGTATAAAATAATCATGATTTAACTAATTCCAACCAAATCTTACCCATATTCAGGTTTAATATGTTATTTTATAATTTTTGACAATTAGGGGTAGTTTTCACTCCTAAAACCATTCAGCGCACTTCGGTTCGATATAGATTTTGATCCTTGGTCTATCACCTACCTTCTGTTAAAATTTCAACTCAATTCATGCAGGACGAAAAAATTGCGAGGTATAACTTTTTTCGAGCTTCATTTCCTGAACTATTAAAAACTTCCTTAGACAAGCAACATTGTTACACAAACAACATTGTTGCGAGACAGATAGTTGAACGATATTTTATACAGTGTCTATACCCAGGTATGGATTTATTTTTGTCCAAGTTTTATATTGGTCCACTATTTCAAATGCAGTTCAAACAGACATATATTAAATTGTATGTTCCGTTTTAAATTCGTTCTATCTGTATATGGTATGTTATTTATTATTCTATAAACAACACACTCCATGATAATCGTCATGATAGCAGTAAAACTCCACCAATTTTCACAGATTTCTTAGATCAGAAAACTTTAACTTGACAAAACAACATGTATATGTGTTATATTAAATTTAATAATCAAGATTCCATATTTGTATTGTATCAAAAGATCATATTTTTTTAGAAATAGTAGAAACATAAACTGCAAAAAACCAATATTTTAGATGCATATTTGGGGATCGATAAGTACAAGAAAATTGTATCCAATTCTTCGTAATATAAACCCGTAAATCAAGGCATCCAATTCGGACAAGGCCTCTTTATAGTTAAGCTTAATCTACAGAGTAAATACCTACTCACCGACTTTGTCAACCTGAAGGTCTTCATCAGATGTCGTGTTTGGAATGCATTCCGTGCCTTCGCCGCTGGAGGCGGCATGCGAATCCGTCATGGATGCGGGGTGCAAGGGTGGCGGCAATCTCGTAAACGATTCCACTCTCACTGCTCCTGTAATAAACAACAGATGTCTAAATCTGATCAAAATGCAAGCGGACAAACTACACGTGTATAATACCATTGTTCGTCAGATTTATGGGCTTGTTTTTTGTTCATTTATTACCCGGAGATAAATTTTTAGCGGAATTTCCGCTTGAATTAAGAGATGCTTGAGATAGTCGCAAATAGGGCACCAATAAAACGTGATGCGGAAAATCTGATAATCGCATTTTATGTATATTACAAAAAGCGTGTAACCTTATTTACTTTATTTCCATAATTCATCTAAGGGGAGGTGAATATTTTATACCTACATTTTTTATTTAACATATCTTGTAATAATCGTTATACTAGATATTTTTACAATAATTATAGGTTGATAAAATTATATTAATTTTCTTAAATATTAGACATATTAAATATTAGAAAAAAAAATATGTTTTGTATACATTTATGACAAATCAAAGATGGAAAAGAAAAGTTTTTTTAAGTAAATTTTATTTTATTTATTATTCCATTATCAAATGTTGGCTTAAAATATTTAAATTGTAAATCTAATCTTTTTAGTTTCTGATACAATCCTTTTTAATTGTTACATTAAATTCATTTAGTCTTTCTAAAAATATCTCAATATTATTCATAAATTATGTAATCTAATTTATTATGTAATTTACAAATGTACATGTTTAGTTGCCAAATAATCACTTGTAATTTGGACTAAACTGAGGTAGTTATAATAGGGGATGTATTTCAATTATTCGTATTGTTACATTTAGATTTAATTAATTAAATATTGTTTTAGTATGCCAATATTAAACACATCAATTTACTTTTGATATCTTAATTAAAACAATTTAGAGACATTCATTAATATCAGCATATTTCATAAAACTGGATAACTTAACTTACAGTATTGAGAAATAGAAGAAGAACTGTCACATTTTAACCTACATATGTCAAATTTACCTCTAAAATCTAATAGATATCATAAAGAAACTCATTGTGTCCAATACTGAGATGTAGTGCATAAAAGTCCTTCCCCCTTTTTAAATTTAATGTTTGTTTCGTCCCTTCTAAGTGTTTTCTGTTTGTGTTTGTTTAAAATTGTCCTTAATGGTTTTAACTTTAATAATTTTATATAATTGACTTTACAACAATTTACCATTTTGCCAATAGAACTTTATCAAAGAAATTTGATAATTACAAGTTGAAAGAATTGCACACCCATACAATTTTTACATCTAATCTTATTCATTGTCATAAAACTGTCACCTTCATAAAATAAATACTCAATAAATAACACACATTTCATAAATATATCTTTTGAATAAGTATAAATAACTTTTAAATAATACAATGGTATATAACATCACTTTCATCTAACAAACAATCACATTACACCTATCTCTACTTCATTGGATCAAATCTATCTCCTCAAGAACTTCCGTTTATTGTCAAACAACTACAATAGCAGACTTAAGTTCTCCATTCAACAATACATGATAGTTTCAACCATGTTCTACCATCCATCAATAATAGAGTACCGGCATTAAGTATGTTTTATTTATTTGCTCATTTATTAATTTATTGCAATCTAATAGACTATTTTATAACAATTTGTGGGTCTTACCTTGTCTGTTAAAACTTTTTATACCTTTTTATTCCTTTTTCTTCATTTTGAAAAACCACAGACATGTAATATTGGCATAATTACTGTAATTTATAATATCTACTTTGTTTATCTTTATTAGACAACACCCTAATATGGGTTTATTATTATTTCAGCATTTATTTAACTTTGTATCGAGACCTGAAGATGCTTTGCATGTTGTAGAAAGCGAAACCTGTCGTCTGGATAGTTAAATTAAATTGATTGTGAGTAAGTCTTATTTATTATTTCTTTACCTACATATTGTAAAGTTAAAAAAAGTCAGTACAGGTACCAAGTTCTTTAACTCTTCGGAAGAAATATGTGAGGGCATCTTACAAAGACGTTTACAAAAAACCAACTATGCAACAATTGCTCGATTTGGTAATGAATCGTTGACAAATTTCTTTTTACCGAATCAAGTACCTTCTGAAAAAAAATTGCTACTAGTTAGGGTTGCCGCTTCCTAAATGGTTAAAGCTGTTACTAGTCCAGAAGATTTTTTTTCCAAATTTGATTGATTGTACATGCTTAGCGCATGGTTTAAACAGGGTGGCAGAGAAAGTTTGACTCAAGTTTCCAAATTAAAACACTTTAATTAACAATTTAAAGAAAGTATTTTTAGAAGCACCATTGCGAGTAGAAATATATAGGGAGATGCTTCCCGACATCCCTTTGCCATCGGAACCAGTGTTGAACTAGATAGGGGACGTGGTTGAATATTGCCATATTTCTTGCAAATAATTATATTGATATCAAAAATGTTATATCAAATTTTGATCCTTCTTGTTGTATTGCTGTTCAGAAATGTCAAAATATTTTTAGTGAGAATTCTGTTCAGAATGAACTGTCCTATATAAAAGCAAATTTTGACATAATTGTAAACTCTATTACAAAACTAGACAGTCAAATTATCTTTAAATGATAGTATTTGCAATGTTGATTCTGTCAAAGAAGAAATAGTAAACCTTGCAGAGACAATTGAAAAAAGAAATTAAAGATAAATTTAGTGAAGTTTTAAACCGGAATGAAGGCTTTTCTTTATTGCGATCAATAAATAACAATCAATTTAACGAAGTTATTAATATGGATCTCTCGCTAGTGTCAAATTTTAGATTTGCGCCAATTACATCCTGTGATGTTGATAGATCGTCAATAACACATATTAACTGATAGAAGGCATAACATTACTCTTAAAAATATTGAACATTTTATGATTATATTCTGTAACAGCAAGAACGAGGACATTTTCTTGTGAATTTTCATTTATATTTTTTTATTAAATGTAGTAATAAATAAACGCTTTCTAAGTTGTACTATAATTTTATTTCTCACCAAATTTCAAGCACTAAAAATTAAAAAATATATTTTTTTAAAGTTCATATATAAATGCATATTGCATATTATAATAAAGGCATATTTGGTTACTTTTAAGTGCATGTTGCATGGATACTTTAATCAATTTTTAGAGGATATAATCCAGTCTCTAACCCTGACGTTCTTCTTTTTCTTTTAATGGCACTACAACCCTTTGTGAATCTTGGCATGCTTAACAATGTTCTTCCATTCTGCCTGTCGGATACTTTCCTTCGTCACTGCATGATGTTCATGGTTTTAAGATCCCTCTCTACGTCGTCTATCCATCTTTTACGGGGCCTTCCTCTTGTTCTGTTTCCTTGGGGCTTCCACCTCTGGACTACTTTTACAGCTCGATTATCTGGCATTCTTTCTAGGTGCGCTTAAATACTCTTAGTTGATTTTCACCAGTGGTTGAGAGGGTCCACGTTTCACATCCATATGTGACCACTGGTCTAATTACTATTTTGTAAATTCTGAGCTTAGACTCACGATTCAGTAACTTACTTTTCATTAAGTCTTTGTATTCATAAAAGCACTTATTACCGCTAAGAATCCGTGCTTGTTTTTCTTGACTGATTTTGTTGTTGTCATTTATTATTAACCCATGAAGGACGAAGTTTTCGAAAATCTTTATTTTACATAAATAATACAAGTAACTCTTATGAATGGACAAAACTTACTTAGAAAAAGACAAAAATAATTATTAAATATATTAAAACCTAAAATAATTGCCTGTTGCCAAATGGCAACCCTAGGTTCCTATGGCTATATTAACCGAATGAAATAAAAGTAAAAAATATTTTATGAAATTGAGAGATAATAAAAAAAGAGGCAAAAAACTTCTATAGCTGTATATGAAATTTAACATTACACTTTGTGCACAAAACCTACTTCACATTTGGCGCATCTTGTTCTCATGATCGACCTGCATTCTTCACCTGCACACCTAATTTTCTTTTTATTTGGTACTGGTTCCAGTAAATGCATAACTTCATCGTATCTAATATCATCAGATACTCTATGAAAGGAACGACTTGAGCGTGAACCAGACGGTCGGCCACCTTGTTTTGCAGGCACTCCGTATTTTTTATGTAGCACCCATGCATTTTGTATAGTCGCATCTAGCATCCAGGTAATCAAGCTCCAGTACCATTTTTTTGCCCTCATTCCTATTCTAAAGCGGTTTATATTTTCGTCCATTAGATCGGTGCCAACATTGCATTATTATATTTACCAATCAGGCATGGACTTTAAACCTGAATGATTTTCTTTTCAGCTTGTTAATATCTTTTCACGAGCGATTGTAGTTCCACCCCATAACATGTTGACGATACACTTACGACGCTGTTATCCAACCATCTTACAACTATAATATCAGTTTCTCTCTCGAGAATCGACTCTACATCACCCCTTTTGCGTTTCTGCATATTAGCTTTCGATTCTATAGGCCAGTTTTTGGGAATGCGATTTTCCGTATTGTTCGGTAAGGCTATAGCCACGATCCTTTATATATTTCAAAAGGTGGAGGCTCGTAAATAAATTGTCGCAGAAAAATTTGTAGGGTAATCTTGATTTATCATTGGGCAGTTCATCGAGCATTGTGACGAATGGAGCTGCACATGCTCCAAAAACTTTATAATAATGATTATTTGCTTTGGGATCGGTTCCTTGGTACATGTTGAAGCTTACAAGATACCCATTTTAGTGTTGAGGCACCAAACTTTGTATCCGAAACGAATCGGCTTTCCTTTTATGAACTGTTTACATGAGTGGCGTCCAAAGTATTTCACCATAGATTCGTCGTAATTTATTCGCCTTCAGGAACGTAATATTCTTTATATTTTTTCTGTAAATAGTCAGCTAAGGGTTTGATCTTGTAATATTTGTCCCTTTCATCGATGGCTTCATTATTTGCAAGGTGGAAAAAACGCCAAATTGTAAGGAGCCGATCTCTTCGCATAGCGTTTATGACCATTGCATTACCCATATCGCCTTTCGTATCCCAGTAAATTTTTTTTCCGGAAGCCAATTATACCCCGATAGAATTAAAATGGCAAAAAAATACCTCATTTCTC